CATCCGTCATGCTTTCTTCCTCTTCTTCTCTCTTCACAGGGTCCCCCTCACAATGTATCACAGTTTCAGCAGAAACTATACATGACGGAGACGGGTCCGTCTCAATTACCTGCAAAGTAAAAATCATTTTCCGGTCGATATGTCATAAATCGGAGAAGAAATACTCACTTTAAATTCAACAGTCCTCATTGCAGCGCTAGCTGTAAAAAGATCCCCCTTATGCACTGGACGATAAGACTCCAAAAAATAAGGCTTTAGGAAGACCTCAAATAAGTTCCTGAAACAATCAGACATCATGAATGATTAATTATTGGCTGAATGCTTAATTTAAAATGAATTGAAATCGTAAAATGAAGTTAGAGAGGATGTGTATGAATAATAAGAAACGAACCCTGTAAGACCTTGGATAGTATCATCAATAGGTAAGACGTGAATTCGCTTACCATAGGGCAAATCTGGTGCAGGATTAACGCTGTAACACTACCAATATTATGAACAGGAGTAAAAACATTCAAAAAATTCCACATGTTAAGCTAATCTCTATTAAATGACTCCAGAAAGCAATGCCTTTCTGGTTTCACTGAGGATTCTGACAAGATCCTCGGCCGTTGTTAACTAGTAAATAATACGTTTATCTGCGAAGAGTAGTGTTCCAAAAGGGGAAAGCACAATGTGTTGTAAATTCTTCAAACTCTTATTGTAGCAAATATTTTACTAAGAAGAGGAAGCCAATTTCAGAAATTCCTTGGTTTTTGACATGATCTTCACTGGCACTTACTTAACAGTTGTTTATAAGCGAGAGACTCTGAGGATGACAGGTATAAATAAAAATGAAAAGCCAAAAACTGTTGCAAAAAAAAGGTTATTAAAAGATACATAGCGAATCCCCCAAAATAACTGATGACCTATTTTACTCAGTTTGCAAAGTGCCTGAAAATCACAGATTTCATCCTCAAAAGGATCCCCACAGCAGCTTGAAATTCCACTTTTACAAACATCTAAGTCCAACAAGCACATGAAGATCTGTAAAGAATAAGTAAAAAATTATAGTTTTTCTATACCTGTGAATGTATCAGCCACACGACAGAGAATTTGGTACTTAGAAGCAAACAATTATGTTCTATAAAGTACTTTATGAGGCACAAAATAAGAGAATAACTTCAAGCGGATGGCAGTGCTGAAAAAATAACTTGAAGAAGTTTTTGCTTTCAGGGTAAGAGTTTCCTGACATCCTTGGTGAAAAACTCGGATCAGAAGTCGGTTACTGTCGTGGAAGTTTGTAAAACATTTCATACTAAAGGCAATCAAGGCAGTCTTTTTCAGGGTAAAAATCAGTACCATCCTCGGAATCCTGTCTCTATCGAAGACACAATAAGAATAGCAGACATATGTGAAAGGAACTTTGAAGGTTTCCGAGCGATAACAACAGAATCAAATTTCATTGGCTATTCTGCACGAGAAATTGCAAAGAAAACAGCCACTTCTACTCTGCACAAAAAAGTGACTGGTTTTAAGAGGAACTAAACTACACTGAAGACGTGTTTAGTAGCAGCTATGCGTTGTAGTTTCGCGCTGAGGCCGATTTTTTCACTACTGTAAAAAAAAAGAACATGCTCAAACGCTTAAGAAAAGATCTTTAAAAGGAGAGAAGGCAAAAACGTGTTCCTCAGGAACGTTCTACGAGGAACCTTTCTTTCAAAAACTTTTACCGCCAACTACGAGTAAAGGTGAAAACAAAAAATTCAAATCAATAACACTGTATGAAACAGGGAGAACCATGCTCCAAACCTATTTAACATAAAACAAGAGTGCTTTAAAAATAGCCTTGCAAAAGCAAAATAAAATTCATTTAACAGACACTTTAAAGTCTGAAAAAAACTTGCCTAACGACGTCACCAAGCCGGACACGAAGGTTATTCCGAACCACACGGTTCATTTTAATTTTGTCATTTGGACAAGTTTCATCAGAAAGTACAATGCAAACAGTTTCCTTGCGCTTCTTCCCTTTTAACAGCACAGTGTCACCTCGGAAGAGGTTTAGCTCGTCCATTTTAGCCTACAATCCATTGAAAAGCCCCAATATAAAGCTAGCAGGGATAAAACACAAATAGGCAAACATGGAAAAGCCACTATTAAAACCTTCTAAAACAGGCCAACGTCTACCTGTGATAAAGCGACCACAGAGTTATCGTCATTAGTGGACTGATCCACCATTAACCGATTAGGCTTAACTTTATCCTTCAAAATTGCAGTTGCTAATTCCTCATTTCTCTTAGTCTTCTCATCAACGCTTCTAAACAATGTAAGTTAAAGAATTTGTACAAAATGGTTCCCAACAGCATCTATAACGGAGTAATACTTACGTTGGAACCGAAGCCATTTTTCAGTCCTCTGTTAAAGTTGAATATGGTAAAAGTCAAATAAGATGCCAACACTGTGAGTTTACCAAGCTGGATTTGCCGAACTTAAAAGAACGAACATTAAACCATACAGCAATAAAGTAGAATCACATAAGAACTGTCCTACGCTGCAACATAAGTAACACAATTCCTTAAAAACTTTAAGCCTCAACCAATAAACCACTTTAGCAAATAAACAAAAACTTGACACCAACATAAAACAATTACGCAAGAGAAGGAAGAGTAAAAATTCTCTATTGTCTTTCTTCATGTTTCTCAGCGTATTAAAAAGAACAATATTTAACAACACACAGTTTAGACAATCCGTAATACACTTAGAGCAATCCCATCACACAGAACTTCGACGCTGCCAATTCTCAACGATAATTGTTAAACTTAAAAATGACAGAATCGTATTCGACCTTCCCAGTATTTCCCAGTACAAGCCAAAAAAAAAAAAAAAA